TCCATGGAAGCTTAGAACTCCTTTTTCCTAACAGGTGAGGCCACTACAAAACAGGTTTTTAAAGACAAAATTCTCAGTATGATCCCAAGAAAGAACAGAAATAATCTGATGCTAAAACTCAGGGTATCAGCAGCCTTCCAAATACATAATCTTATGATCTACATGAGCTGCTTCAATGAATGCAAGTCATTGGGGACCTCCTCATCTTTCTTATCTTCTATTATTTCCAGGTAAACCTCCTGTCTTTTCAAAATTAGTCTTTCTTCTTTTCAGCATCTTTGGAAACCAAACAATTCCATCATTTTGCTTCGTTGGGTGAGATGATCCATTTCTTGAGAGATTTCCATTTAAGAAATTAAAATTATAAGGCCCCAAAGAAGGACATTTTCCAACAGCAAATCAATTCGTATGTCTTTTGGAGAGTTTTCTAGAAATTTGCTTAAGAACAGCTGAGTCAATGTCACTTCAGGGCTAGGACACTCAGCGCTGACAGAAATTCTAACCAGCATACTCTCTGAGCTTTCCCCAGCTGGTTATTTGTACAATGAGAAATGCATGTTCTGTACTCCAGAGACATGAATCACTTGTCCAATTAAAAATAGTATTTCCCTAGCCACTTTTCCACCAAGCATAGGAATAATTTGTGGGTGAAATTGTGGCCGTATTCATTTCTGCCTTGGAATGGAGCCTGTGGCTGTGTGACCGTATATACATGTATTGATCAGTTTTTTTTCTTTCTGAAACATCAGTGCCAAAGTGAATGATGACAGCTTCTTCTAGGATTTTCTCAAAATTAGGTCAAGGCTTTCCAATGTGGGAGTTAAGTGCACACTTCTTGACAAATTTAGGAAAAATAATCACATGCCAAAAGAAACGCATATAAAAAAGTAGTCCTTCCCCAAATTGTGTCTGAGTCTTATTTTGTTTTCTTAAAACAGATGAATGTAATTACTCCATAGAATTATAGAGTGGAAATTATCCGATCAAAGATAACCTCTAAATCTCACAATTAGGCATGATGAATCACTTTGTCTGAATTATCAGATGCACCCATCCCATCAATTAATGCATTTAGTTCTTGAATTTTTATTAGATGCCTCTGAAGTGCCAGTTACTCTACAGTGGCAGAGATTATCTCATTGTGGCATGAAACTGCCAAATATTCACCACTGCCTGGGGAAAGGTCATATAAACTAATACCTGCCAGACCAAATATATGTACATGGCAAAAGATCATAGGGGGAAAAAACTGCTAATTTCCCATAAAGATCGATTTTAGCTTTTACAATTGAAACTTGATAAAATAAGAAAGAGCACTGACTTGTAAATGCTCAGGGTGTTGGAGAACATATGTAGATGGCTCAACAGATGCAGAGGTCAAATCTATGGCAGGTAGAAGCTTTGGAACTTAACTGTCTAGATAACAGTCATTTATGGAAGAATTTCAAACAAGGAAGTGCTAGAACCCTCTGTTCATGTCAGAAGGAAGAGCTATAGCAATGATTCAGAGGGAGCCGGAGGCAGAAGGAGAAGTCAGACAGTTAAAGACTCAAAGAATGAGGATTGGAACCCAAAGGAACATTTGGGCAGAAGGTTCTCAGGAAGAAAGCTGATCCCTCACTCTGTAAATCATTAGATTGCAAGGTGAGAGGAAGGACTGGGGAGGATTCTAAGCATCAAGGTGGTAGAGCTGTGGCTGAACACGGAAGCCACTGACAGAAGTTAGAGTAGAGGAACTTCCTGACGCCTGCTTTTCAGTGTTTGGCCCCTTCTAACTGCTTCCTGTTGTACTTACCCCTATTCATTTATCTGTTGGAGGAGGCTCTACAATGCATGATGGGTAGAAGGAGGGAATATGATGAGCGCATTTTATGGTAGTTCTTCTATGTATAGCTGGGGAAGTGGGTGGGGTGCTTGCATTATCTTCCAGGATAACTGTGGTATTTCTTGGCTTTCTGTTTGGGAAAATGGACTTCCCTGTCTCTGTCCAGTGACTTTTTCAGTTGGAATTTTGCGCTTTATATTTGTTCTCTGAAACGTTCCCGTTCCATCCATCTGGTGGGATTGTTTGTGATTTTGATTCTGTGATGTCTTATGTTGGCTCTCGTCTCCAATTCTGTGTCTTACAAAGTTGAGGGGTTCTGTCTGTGTACATTTGGTCTGGTCTTCCATATTCAGGATCATACATTTATGGATTCACTAATTTGTGGATTGATAATATTAGGAAAAAACAAGCATCTATACTGACTGTGTACTGACTTGCCATTATTTCCTAAATAATATATTAATTATCACTGTGTAAATATAAGTATTGACATAGCATTTACATTGTGTTAGATAGTACAAGTAATCTAGAGGTGACTTAAACTATTAAAAATCTGCCTAAATTGTGTGCAACCCCTATTTCTGTTTATATAAGGAACTTGAACATCCATGGATTTTGGTACTCAAGGGGTTTGGTCCAGAGACCAATTCCTGTACATACCAGAGGATGACTAAATCTGATTTTATTCAAGTCACAGATGCAATTTTTACTGATCAGTGCTAGGAACACTGTGTTATAGCCTATAACTTATTACTTCCCTCCAATGTGACACCCAGAAACCAATTACTCTTTTTCCAATGAAGTTACTCAAGAGTCTTAAATCTACTGCAAAGTGCTGCCATTTAGAGCAAGGCTAAGAAGGGAGGCTGTATGGAATGTGTTTTACTTAAGTCAATATCTTGTAATTTCACATGTGCAATCTGTCAAAATCTAGCTCTGGTAGCCGCAAATGTACTTCACAAACCTGTTGATGGATTACAGCTCAGTCAACCATGCTAATTCCTGGACTGATGCCCTTCCATTAAGTGCAAAATTATGTCTCAGCTTTCAATACTTACCTCTGCATGGCAGATTTAACATCACGGAAACTGAAATATATTGTATTACTTTTAAAAGTGCTTAAGAATGGAGAGATGCTGGTGCTATAAACTTAATCGAAGGACAATTGGGTGACATCTTTCCTTAGTTAAGATAAGTTGCTTTCATCTTCACATCATTGAGTAAATGACTTACTGTATGTCATTCACACCTCAGCTAAGATGGTGATTTCAACTCATTCTCACAACGATGGAATTATTTTGTACTGTCAGAAGTCCTGTCATGTGGATGAAGAACATGATTGTTTCCTAGGATGTGTCATTGGCTAATCTTTACCTGATCCACAGATATCTCTCTTCAGAATCTGAGCTCTTCACCAAACACCACGTGCTAATCCATAGCACCCACAAATGATATTTAGTTTCCAGAGCGTCTGCCTTTAAAAAAAAAACAACTTGAAAATGCTCTCAGGGTTCTACACTTTTTAAGCACAAGATCAAGTTGTATGTGAGCAGGTAATGGGGCAAAGCACACTCTCTTACCATATGTTTTTAAAAACCGTGAACAAATGAAGAGGCAGAGAAAGGCAGAGATAGGAATCATTCAACTAGAAGAAAATACCAGGTTTTCTGTAGGCATGTTGTGGTGGAATATTTGTGTCAAGCATGCCTTTCATTGTATTGGTAACAGCTGAAAAATTTTGCTGAATCGCGCCTTCTTTGAAGAGCCTATAATTTATTTGGTCAAAATTTATATTCTGTGTTCACCCCCTAGGAATCAGAAGCTCTAATAATTCAACAGTTACAACCCCTGCCCCTAAATACAGTGTAGGTCTTCATTCCTGTAGACTGACACATCAGTTGAGTTTCTCTAAATTTTTATCGTTTCTTTAGTGGAGGAGGGAAATTGGTGTGAATGGTCAGATAGCTTTTAGCAACAAATTGGTGAATATTCAGAAATCATCTTCATTATTTTATTTTGAGCTATATTGTACAATATAAGGTTCAGAAAATATATTTACATTTGATTGCAAAAACAGTCTCCCAAGTCAAAAGTTATGTGAACCTTGGCATACACCTTTGCAATAACTCGTTTCCTTTTGTCTCTCCATTAGGGCAAATTAGCAAGATTTTTGTGTTCTTCTTTACTTTCAGTTGAAGTCTCTGAAATTATAGCTTGTGGAAGGAAGACAACAGATCAATACTTACTTCTCTGAGGGAATATTTACCTCAGGTAAAGAGGAGAAAAAAAAAACAAAAAAACACCAGAGGGTATTTTACTGTTTTCCAGCTTTTCTCGTAAAGGGAGAACTTAAAAGAAACATTCTCCTCTACCACTGCGAGCCAAAGAGGAAATAATGTTGAGAAACTGCAAAGTTTTGAGGATTAAACAATGACCTGTACATGAAAAAAAAAAAAAAAAACAAAAACATTCGTGTGAAAAGGAATAATTGGGGGTTGGAATACATTGAACAATGTATCAAATTTGCAAAGGAAAAAGAAAGCCCAGGTAGTTTATAGTGAAATTTAGAGAAAAAAAAAATGAATGCCCCACTTCTCAGGATTGAAAATCAATAAGGCACCATGGGGCCCTGCATGAGAACAAACAGAACTTTAAAAAAAATAAAAATAAAAAAGGAAATTAAAGAACAAAAACCACTCAGGGCCCTGGCCCTCTTTCCACTTGCTCACAATTCTCCCACCTGCTGTTGTTTTCCAGGATCTCCCAAGAGTCCTGTGATAGACATCACAAGGGTGAACGTGTGGATTAAATCCTCACACCCCCTACCCCTGCCCCGTAGTTGGGGCTGAGTTTGGGGATTTGCAAGCAGTTAACACAGAGCTGAAGACAAAAGGATGTAAAAAATCTGAAGAAAGAACTTGGGGAAAGATGAGCTCACAGCTAAGCACATGACCTTGGGAAGGTACCCAGGCTGGGGTAGGGAGGAGGAAAGGGAGTCACCAAATGAGACAGGAAGAGATGGATGCCCACGATGAAGAAGAGAATCAGAGAAATGCAACATTAAAACTGACTGGAAGAGAGTTTCAACATGGAAGAAGTGGGGAATTCGGTGGCTTTTCTCAGAGAAGTCAGGGAAAATAAGTTGAGAGAGAAGGCTGCCTTTGGGTTTGGCAAAAAAAAAAAAAAAAAAAAAAAAAAGCTTTGGAAACTGCCTGAATAGCTGCAGTTTCTATAGAGGGGGAGCCTCTAAGCTCATCTGGAGGAGAGCAGCTTCCAGACCTGCTGGGTGATGTGATAAGGAAGAATTGGGATGAATGGTTGAACTGAGTGTAGATGATTTTTGTTTTAAGAAGCGGAAAAATAAATTACCCCCAAATAACTAACAACATGATCACTCTGCTCTGTCAATCTGCATTTCTCACATTGTTGATGCCACATAGTTTTAATTACAGAATTTAGAGGTAAGCCTTGATAGAAGTACTGTGTGTTCTTCATTTTTCAAAATTGTTTTAATTATTCTAGGTTCTTTGCATAGCTATGCAATTTTTTTTTAAATTAGCTTGTCAATTTCCACATAAAGCACACACATAAAACCCTGGAAGGATTTCAGTTGGAACTGTATTCAATCCAAGGATCAAAATGGGAGAGAAATGACAGGTTGACAATATTGATATCCTTTCTGATCAATGGATATGGAATTTTTTTTTCCCATTACACATTTCATATTTGAAATTTGGCCTCTCCCATCATTGTTCAGATCTTGCACATGTCTCATCAAACATATTTCTACCAGTATCTCCTGACTCTGATGCTCTTGATGTCATTCTGGCTTCGATTTACATTGGTCATTGCTATATATGAAATTTAGTGTATGAACTTTCACCATCCAACATTGCCTGACTCATTTCTTAGTGCTGGTAGCTCTTCCGTCAAGTCTTTAGGTTTTTCTATGTAAATGATAATATATCCTCTGAAGAAGTTGTTTTATTTCTTCATTTCTAAGCTGTTGCCTCTAGGTATTCTCTTTGCTTATTGTACTGTTAGAACCTGCAACATAATGGGAAATAAAACTGTTGAGAGATGATATGTCTGACCATTCCCCATTTTAAGAGGACTGCACACAGTCATTCACCAGTAAGTTTGACATTTCCTGTAAGTTTTTCATGGGTGCAATTCATTAAGTTGAGAAATATCAGCTTATTTCCAGATGGCCAATAATTTTTACAATGAACTTTAAATTTTACTAAATACTTTTTTTTTTGCCTCTATTGACATGCTTTTCTTTCTGATTCTGAGAGGTCTAGTATACTAATTATTATTTTTTTAATGTTGAGCCAGTTTGCCTCCCTGAAATCAGTTTTTCCTACTTTGTTATTTCTTTTCATACTTAGATGGATTTGATATTTTAAATTTCGGAAAGGATTTATGTTTCCAGAAAATGTTGGTTTGTGTTTTCTGTTTTGTTTTTTTGTAATGTCTTGGGTTGGTCTTGATAACAAAGAATGTGGACCTCATAAAGTAAGCTGAGGAATGTTCCCTTCTTTTTATGTGCTGTACAATTGGTGTCATTACTATCAAGCTTTCCTTAACTGTTTGGTATAATGTAATATTGCAGCTATCTGGGTCTAGAGTTTTCTCTCTGGGAGGACTTTAAATTATGAATTTAATTTCTTTAATGGAGCCTGGTCTATTTCTTCATGAGTAAGCTTTTATAGTAATCTTTCAAATAATTTTCCATTTCATTTATATTATCAGACTCCTAACAAACTTAAAAAAATATGCCTAAATTAACCTTCCAAAATCTTTAGGGTCTATACTGATATATACTCTTTCAACTCTGATAAGGATAAGTTATTATTTGGGGGGTTTTGACCAGTATAGATAGATGTTTATCAGTTTTTTTTTTTTTAATCTTTAAAAAATTCTTTGGTTTCATTGACTTTTTTTTTTGGGGGGGGGGGTACCATACCTATTTTGTCTTACTTTGATTCTTGTTATTAGTATTATTCTTCTTTTCTTTTGCTTGCTTTGATTTCTGGAGAGAGAAACCTAAACCATTGGTTTTAAATCTCTATTTTTTTTTCATTATATGCTTAGATTCTCTTCCAATTTACATTGAAAAATAAAAGATATTCCTGTGGTTCTTTAGCTTTTTATTTCTTGCATTGAATTTTTTAGTGCAGCTAGATTTCTTTCCCCTAATAGATAGCCAAAGGCTTCTACCTAATTTACAAAATATATCAGCTTCTACAGTTATCTCAGTCATACAAGTTAACACATACTAAATCCTACATGTATTTCCCCCCTGTATTTACATTTCCAGAACTTATGATGTGAAGTGTGTGTTTAATTGCCTGCAAAGATGGCTTCAATCATTCTTTTTATCTCTCTATGCAGATGAGGATCTTCCATCCAAAGATGGAGAGTGTTTCCCCTTAGTCTTTCCTGGTCATGACCTACTTTGCTTGCTGGGAGGTAATGGATGTTACACACACCATTTCTGTGCCATGGCCATAAGAGGCCGGGCAGAGTTTACCTTCGCCATCTTGGAGTTTTGATCAAACATGTAAATAATTTTGAGTACCCAGGGAGGGAGGCCGTAAGGACAGAGTGACATCCTTCAGGGTAAAAGACCACAGGAGAAGGAGGACATGGAAGATGAAGACCAGGAGATATGAAAGGACTCAGCATTCCAGTTCTCACTCCTGAGGAAACAGGTGTGTGAAGGAAATCATTTTAGAAGCTCGAGTCTAGACTGCATCTACCACTCCATTAAAAAAGTTGAATTCAAAATTCTTTGTCCGCATGTAGGGACAAGGTGGGCTTCCCTAGCTGAGCCCTGGGAAACCAACCTGTGGAGCCATGAGCTTGTCAAACAATAACTGTTTGAAGCCACTAGATTTAGGGTGGTGGTTATACTGTTTTAGATAACTGATAGAATCTGGATCTTTTCAGAAAATACTTACAGGAAGTGGGAGAATATGAATCAGTTCTGGAGTAGAAAAGAGTTGGGAGCATGTGTTAGTAGTGGTGTGGAACTTACTCATCATTAGTGAAAGCTCATAGACCAAGGGATAATATTCATTTGTAAAAGACAAACGTGAATCTGGGGTACATGACCTTGCTTCTCAAAGCTAAAATTATGCGGAAATATTTGTTAATAGAAATATGGTTTAGAGTATGTCAAAAACAAGGGTGTTTGCCCTTGATTTCAATTGCAGACAATGATATGGATGTTTTTATATTCTTTGTGTTACATTTTCAGGGAGTCTGAGTGTTGAATACTACTGTATGATATTTGCCAAGCAGTGAAACAATCCGCAAGCATTATTATATATTAAAATCTTCAGCCAGATGTGGTGGTACATGCACATAATCTCATCTGAGACAGGCAGACTGCAAGTTCAGGGCCATCCTCAGCAATTTATCAAGGCCCTACACAGCTTAGTGAGACCTTGTCTCAAAAACAAAAAAAATAAAACAAACAAAAGAGCTGGGTGGTAGGTCGGTTGTCAAGTGCTCCTGGGTTAAATCCCCAGTACTCAAAAAAAAAAAAAAAAAAAAAAAAGTTCAGATGCTTTGCCAGGTACTGCAGAATTAACAAGAACATTTATCACATATTACTTATTTGAAGGGGCCTGCGTCATAGTTGAGAAAACAAACAATCAAAAAGTAAATCTTCCAAAAATATAATTTAAGACAATCGTGGAAAGGATAATATACTTTTGGCTTTATGAATTACTAAATGAATTTAGGAAATATGAGTTAGAAATTTTAGAGGCCAGAAAGATCATTTTGGAGCAGAATGAAGTGATTTGGGGAGGCTTTATAAAGAGTTAGAATTAGGCTTGATAGAAAAAGAGTCCATTTGGAAAGATAAGGTTTGAGGCCCAGGGAATCATCCAAAAGGTAAATGAATCTCTCTCTCTCTCTCTCTCTCTCTCTCTCTCTCTCTCTCTCTCTCTCTCTCTCACACACACACACACACACACACACACACACACCATGCACAGAGTAAGTGTAAGTGTTCCCGCACATCAGTGATTAAAGCAGTCTGACAAGAGGAAAGTTAGAGAGGATATGTTTAGAAATGAGGCTATGCAGGTATCTGCTAGGACTTTGCAGCATGAGGAAATTGAAATCAGGTTTGTCATCAGCAAGGACAGACAGAATAGGGAAATCTTTAAAAAGTTTGAAACCCAAGGCATGACAAGTTAGCCTATATGATACACCTCAGGAAACCCCAAGATTCGCAAAGAAACCAGAGTTTTGTATCAACTCTGTTCTTAGAGTCCTTCGATGAACTTCCCTAGGGGTAAGGAAAAGAAGGGAAGGGAAAGGAGCATCCTCTCTACCAAGAAACAGCATAGGAGCCCTGCCTTGCTTTTGTTATGTCAGCTAAAATGAACTCGCAGCACAGCAGAGGTCTTTTCTACCTGGAAAACATCATGGCCTCAGAAATCAGGCTTCTCTGTTGTTGCCACCTCTCTGAGTTGTAGGATTGTTACATCGGTGTGGAAGTTTTGCTTGAGTTCTTCTTTTGTATTTTCCAGTATCTTTCCACAACTTCCTGAATCTGGGGTCCACAGAGGAGGTCTCATAGATTCTTCAAACACCTGAAATTATTTGCAGAATGTTTATAATTATGCTTTCTGCATATGTTTTCTAGGAAGGTCCCAGAGCTGGGGTTTATTTCTCCCAAAGAACCACTGTTCTTTTGGGAACCACTGTTCTTTGAGGCTTTGTCTCCTCTCCCACAGAGGTGCCTAGATGATGTGAAAATCCACAGGACACCCCACTTGTTCTTTAAGTAACTAATTACATGAATTAGTTAATTAGATGAAAACCTCTTCCCTCCCACAGATGTCGGGTGTTATCCTGACAGTCACTGACTTGGGTCAATTTAATTCTATGTAACTCACCTTTGTTAAAACCCATCAAGTGTCACCTGAATGGGACCCATTAGAGCCATTTGAAGTCTCAATCAGAAACTCAGGAGCACCAAAGAGTGGACAGGAAAAGACAAGGCATTAATTACAAAGACACACTATCTCTGTGTCCCTCTCCCTGGCGTTTCCAGGGTTGATAGGAGGCAACGGCCTTGATGAGAACTCCAGGCGGCAGCTGTCAGTACTGGGCACCTGGCAGCTGAGTTATGTGTTGGCACTGAATCACCTTCTCCACCCCCAGCCCAGCCCAGAATGCTCTGGAAGCCAAGTGCAAATGCCTGTACAGCTCCACATACCACTTTGCTGCAAAGCGGTAACCTAGAGGTGGGTCGGGAAGAAGGATGCTCAGTGGGAAGCATTCCAGGGGTCCGTGGGACTCTGTATGCTGACGGAAGTGGGTTGGCTATGGTGTTCGACATCACTCAAAAGTTACTTCACGTCCACAAGACAGTGGTTGGATCCTGTTCATGTATTCTTCCTGAAATAACACAACAGGAACAGATACTTGTAATAAAATATTTTCTACCTGGATGTTTTTATGATATCCTTTTTTTTTAACAAGATAATGAAAGCTCTCAAACAAGCAAAGAGCACTTGCAGCCTTTCACGTTGAGAAGATGCCGAGAGAGTTTCTGCTTGAGGATCTAAATCTTTGAAACCTAAAATCTGCCACTTTGAGGCCATTTGATTTTTGTGTTACTGAAACTGGGGAGTGAGGGGTACATTAAAGTAATAAAATTCAAGTAGAGGCCATGGGGTACTCAGAGACAGGCTTTCAGAGCAGGTGGATTCGTTAGGTTTCAGTGATGTGATGTTTGAAGAGAAAGGAAGACAGAGAATGTGGACAGGAGGTGAGCAGAGAAGGTTCAGCTGATGAGAGAGTGACCTCCAGGAGTCAGTCCTTAGGTATGACCCTGTGAAGGGGCATCAAAGCCAGCGCTGTCAGCAGAATTCCCACAGCAGACACTCTCTCAGCAATCACAATTTGTACATTTTAATATTTCCTTTCTTATCATATGAACTCAGGAGAGGTCTGAGCAAGAATAAGACATGTATACTTTCTCCTTTTCTGAATAAATTCTATGAACAGTAAAAGTGGAGAAAAAAAGAAAGAAAAGAAAAAAGAAAGGAACAATAGAGTCTACCATTCTGTAAGAAAATTTAAAAAAACCCAAATAGGTCCAGAATGTTCTCCACACACTTTCAGGTTGGTTTATGTCATTTTTCATCTATATATGATGACGTTTGTAAATACAAAATGAATTTCCTGGAAGGAAAAACAATGTTAAAAAAGTGAAAAGGTTTTTTTTTTTTAATTTTTACTTTTTTTAAAATATAGACAGCCAAGTGCCTGGTTATGAATAGTCACAATCAGCTAAACCTCCAAGCTCAGTGAGGAAGCTATGGATCGAGAGTTGAATGTCACATGCCAAAAGCCACAAAGCGAGAGTCTCCCCCAAGGACTTGGCTCTCCTCTCTTGCCTTTATGTGATGTTTTGCTATCAGAGAACTGTGCTGGGAGGGTCAGAATATTATTTTGAGACTTGAGGTTAGCACCTAAAGCAGCAAGAAAGAAGTTGGAAATGTTTGACTCATCCACTTGGGTAGAAGAAGAATCTCAACTCAGAGAGAGAACTGTGAGTTGCAGGATTTATAAGATATTTCTTCTCTTAGCTTTAACATGAATAGCAACCTGTTCTCAGCTCTTTTCTCCTCAGACTTATTTCCTTTCTGGAGAGAAAAGAACTAATGTTCAGACACACCAAGAAGCAGAATATTGAGCCTTCCGATTCCTCTACTGCACTCCTGTTTCTTCCACAAAAACTTTAACCTGCTGTTTTGTAATCTGTTTTTGTTCCTCTCCTTGGAGTTCCTGCCTTCTAAGAGAGCAATTTTGCTGTATGTAATATGTATATTCATATAGTGTGTTCTATATTCATATATATGAATATAGAAAAGATAAGTTAGTACAGACTCAAGACAGAGAACATATTGCTAATGCATATATGGAGTATTTAATGAGTCTGGTCCTGTGTAGTGAACTTTATTATATGGATGAGCTAATCTTTAACCCTTACAGCTCCTGAGTGCAACACTTAACGTCTGTTATCACCCCCATGTTAAGGTTGAAGAAGTTGAGGTCAATAGACAAGGGCCACAGATTTTAGAGTTTAGCTAAATTAGTGTCAAGCACTGCCTAGAACTAGCACATGTACTTGGTGGGAATTTTGTCTTAAGTACAATAATGTCTGTATTCATTTTGACATTACTAAATTTTGTAAAAGCAAAAACTACCCCCCAGCTAGATATGGTGGTGTATGCATATAATCCCAGTGGCGCAGGAGGCTGAGGGAGTAGGATTGCCAGTTCAAAGCTAGCCTCAGCAACAGCGAGGCACTAAGCAATTTGGTGAGAGCCTGTCTCTAAATAAAATAAATAATAGGGCTGGGGATGTGACTCAGAGGTTGAGTGCCCCTGAGTTCAATCCCTGGTACCTAACAACCCGCCCCCCAACCCAAATAACTTTTGCTTCTTTTCCTCACCACAGAACACAAACCCCCTATTTGACAAAAGGATTTGACTGTTGAACCTGAGTTGATCTCAAGTGGATCCAAATTTACTTTAGAGAGTTTTGGGGGATAGGACTGATGTTTGTTGAAGGGATAACTTTATGGCTCACATACTAGACATTTGTCTAAAGATCTCTTGAAATAAAAGTCTATGGCTGCCATGTTTTAAACTTTGGGCCTCAACTCCGGAATAACTCCGGAGTCATGTTTGCATTATAAACAGAGCACGTGTTGCACAGAATGTGAAAATGCCAACAGAAACCGCTTGCTTAATTTTATCAACCTGCTTTTTCAGAGGGTGCTGACAGCCCAGCGGAGGCAAGAGTAGCCGCTGAGGCTGGTTGGCAAGCCCACATTCTGTGGCTTTTTCTGTGAAGTGCTATCTCAGGAGATTAACTCAGCCTGCATTTTGCATTTGTGTTGGGTACCAGTGCCCAGAGGTCTTGGGAGCAGATGCATATTTGACACCTATTTATCTTGGTCAGGGGGTTGTCATGGGAGCCAAGGTGATATTGACTTTAGTGAAGTCCTTTGAGGGGAGATGAGAGGAGCTGGAGATATCTGCTTGGTTCTATTTTCACATCCATCTACTGTTTGCCAAAAGGTTAAGTTTCTCCCACCTCTCTGTCAGCACTTCCCAACCTTTGATATCCTGCAGTACACTTGGTAATGCCAAAAGAGCAGAGTTATACTGGGAGTGGGAGATGGTGGATACATGTGCTTATATGTCAGCTTGCTCCAATTGAGAATATTGTATTCCTGGCTTTTTAAAATTTCTTGTTAAGTGGTGGTTGAGAATAAAAAGCCTGGGTATTTTAAAAGAATATACTCCATTGTCAAGTATAAGAGAGCCAGATAAGAAATTCAATATGATGTGTCAAGAACTATGTAATGTTTTGAACAACTAATAAAAAATAAAAATAAAATAAATAAATAAAAAAGAAAGAAATTCAATGGAGATACAAAGAAGTCTAACCAAATCCTAAATAAATAAAAAGAGTAGTAATAACCTAGAGTGACCTATTAGGATAAAAGAATCATGGAAAATCATATATATATATTTTTTTTTTATTTATCACTTAGATTCTAAGTCTTGGACACATGAAAACTCTCATATGACCTTAGTACTTTAACACACTCCTGGGTAAAAGTAAGAAATGTTGTATTTGATTGTTTCAAATCTCAAATTCTAAATTAGTCAATGATCTCTGTATGCTCTTTGAGATAAAAAAAAGAAGTGAGGTAAATATTCTCATTTTCTGAGAGCAAATGCCTGAGATAATTTCAAAAAGTTTTTTGAAAGCACTCTAAGCTCAAGTACACACACACACACACACATACACAAACATACACACTCATCCATCAGTGCTGTCTTTCCTCTTCCAAGTCAATCTCTAATGCCTACTCTCAAACTTGAGTTCTGAACACCTGCTAAACACTGTGCAAAGCATCTTTCGTGGATGCTACCTGCAATGCCATTATTTGAATTCCCATTTTACACATGAAGCAACCAAGACACAGAGTGATCGCAAGGCTCATGGTTGGAGCCTGATTCCAGCCCTGGTTTCACCTGCCATACAATCCTCTTTCCCAGCTAAAAACACTAAAGAATCACAATCACACACGCTTTGCATTTTTGTCACTAATAGGCATAGAGAATTTTTTTTAATCTTTCAAAATTCTCTGTGTTTGGCTATGGTAAAGCACATTTTTATCCATCGTCTCTCAGTATGACCTTTTGCGGTGATAAACCCCACATATACAGTTAAGTATGTAGATATGTATGTTTATAGATCCCTCAATATCAACCCAGCTTGAAGAGTGCAAATGAACAGCAAGTACCTCCAGGAGAAAATTAATTAAGTAGCAAGAATGAGGCAGACGGGTTAACCAGTCAACATTCTGATAATGTGTTTATATTAGCTAATCAAAAGCAAGTTTAAAGTAAAATCCAATCCAATCAAACAAAAACAAAAATAACAAAGGAGATTTATTCTCCCAGAATGACAGTGGCTTTCAAGTGGATAGGCAATGACTTGCAGTTTCTGTAAGTCATCGATGAAATAGTATTAGTCACATTCTTTCCATTTTCTGCAAATTAATTTTTGTCATTAAAAATCTATTCAATCCAATGATCCGTTCATTACCTTCTAATTCTTCTGGGATGTGTAATGGTATTCTGCCTTCAAATAAGAATAGACAGGTTTCGTTTAGATGCACTGACATTTATGATTTTACTAACTAATTTGTGCTTAATTAGATCTCACTCAAAAGTTTAAACTTGAATGTACAAAGTTTAACTTTGTATCTGGATTTCAGCAAAGCATCATCTGAAATACTGCACATCATAGGGCCAAAATCAATGCCGGTGTTTCTTTGAGGACTTCAGGAATAGGCAGAAATGTTGGGTCTCAGTTCTCAGCATGATTGTTACAGACTCATTCTTTCATTCATTTTTCCCCTTATGTACTATGCTAATTAAGTCTAGTTCAGTTTATCTCCTGGGCTGGTCATGACAATGTACAGAAAATTATAGCAGCCCAAGAAGGCATTTAA